GTCTATGATTTTGATCATCTTGTAATGCAGATAACCATCACAACAAGTATTTCCTTGAAAAATATTTAATATTCCACATATTTTATGTCATGGAACGGGCTTTTCAATGATGGGGAGTTGCGTGGCGAGCTCACCAAATCGTGGGAAGGTGGGTTAGCTCGCTTTCATCTGAACTCCTGAGGAGTCCACAAATTGAGTTAGCAAAATTATTATTATTTTTGTATAGTCTTGATATTGGAAGCGAACATGGTGAGTCTTACTCACCTTCAATTGCTGTAGAGTTCTCTGGGCATGGAAGTAGTGAAGCAGGGCCATTATCAGCGAACTTGCAGTCATACAATGGGTACTGAAGAAATGAAAAGCATGAAAATGATTTCTCATCGTAGTTGGCTTACTCCTTTACAAGGGTTTGCATAACTCATCATATAAATTTTGTCGACTCGAAATTTACAAAATAAGTCCTCGTGATAATATGTTTTAAATCCGAAGTCATCATGAGCAATGATCGTCTCCATAGCGACACCAGTTACTGTTTCAGCAGCATTTCTGATGAGCTAAAATTCCGTTTTCAGTTAAGCTCTTAGGAAACTAACTGTTGCAATTCTTCTCTTGTCATATGGGTTGTACATCGGATCTTTAATAAGTCTATTGTAAGTAGCATACATTGCCCGGAACAATCGTAAGTTGCAGCATCGTGAGCCTTCAATGGATCGTTATGAAAAAATGAGCTTCAGTTCGAACCTGCAGGGTTCTCGGTACAATGAGATCCAACAGGGAAACCACAGCGTGGACCTGACTGTTCAAGTAGCAGAGGAGTATGTTTTGGCCTGAATCGAAATAATTCATTTCGTAACTACTTCCGATGGAAAACTGATCAGTTTTATAGATTCAACAAGATTTTCAAAATGAATAAGAACGACTGTACCTTTGGCAAGGCAGTTCTCTACTCAAAGTTCCGAAGTGTTCAGCTCGAGATATGGATGAAAAGTATTCTTCTTTAGCTAGACATTCAGGATCATACTGAAATTCATCAACATTTGCTCACGATTCTTCTAGATGTAAAAATTTGTTAGAAATGTGTCCCATGTGGTCTAGTGGTTAGGATTCGTGGTTTTCACCCACGCGGCCCGGGTTCGATTCCCGGCATGGGAATGTCGTTTTGCTACTCACGTTTTTTTGTTTTGGAGTTGTATAAGCCATAAGATAGACTCCCTTATCAGCATTATTGTACTTGCAGAAGTCGTTCCCAGAGTGATGAGAAGCTACAAAGAAATCGCTTGTTGACACAAATACTTCGAAGGAATGCTGCATTCGCAACTGTATATTTTGCTTGATGGCCTATAAAGCTATTTTAGACAGCGATCAATGTTGAACATACATTAGCTAGAACCCCTAAAGATTCTGAAGGAGTGTAAGAGGGACTCGAGCTGATTTCTTCTAAAGCTTCATACATCGTTTCATAAATGGCCAAGTTGCAGCACTTGTTGCCTGAACTTTTTTTGAAATTCAAGTCGTTATGAATGAAACTACCATCTCTCCTTGTATGATTACAGTGTGAATCTGGAGGAAGACGCAATTTATGCTTGTTCAAATCTTAAAACATGTAATTGTGAATGTGAGTGAGCTTTCGAAACCTGCTAACGGCTTTTTTGCCCGAGCTATTCGTTCAGAAGGTTGAATAGATAAAGTTTCTGTAAAATTAAAGTAGAGGCTTTTTTAAGACATTCCGAACCTCCAGCAGAAGGATTATAGCGCGCATCAGGAAAGTCTCCGCGAACGTTCACCTTCTTCGTTGCCCCAAGGCTATCTTGTGAATCAATTGTAGCATACAATTCCTCTTTTTTCAGATCAAATGGTGCGTACTGAAAAAAAACAATAATCTTTAAACAAGAGCAATTCTACCTGATTAGGCGTAGCATAAGCCAGAATGAAGTATCCATCTTTGACCAGCTTACATGACTGCAGTCCATGGTAATACGTTGATACACCAAAGTTTTTTTTACTCATAATAACTTCAAAAGTTCCTCCGAAGCTCAATTGTAACAAACGTTGTATATACTTAAAACGAATTATTTCTGCTGTCAAACATCAAAGAGATACTTTAGCACCATCTCCTAGTTTTGGAGTTGTTAAAGCAAGTTGTGTTGCTGAATGTATAATACTTCCCATATGATAATCACAGCATTCCAATGTTTCATACATGTATGGAACAGATTGATCAGCTGGAGCACAGAAGCATTGTGAGAACGATATGAGATGGACTCACATGGTGAATACCGCCATCCGCATGAACTTTCTTTTATTACAGGAGGAAGTGTGGTGCTTACGTTCTTTACGGGCTTATGTTTACTTACTAAATTGGATAGAGGGTTTCGAAATGATTGATAAACTAACCATGACTCTCTCTATCTAATGTATAATTTTTCTCGACATATTCCAAAGGTAGAGCACTGACATCTTAAAAAGTGAAAAGAAGAAGTGGAGTTTGATGATACCACTTACCTTCTATTTCAAACTGACAAGTACTATTGATACAATTAAAATCAAAGTCCTCTACTTCAATACATGAGACGTAATACGTAAACAAAACATAGAGGGCATTGCGCTGAAGCATACCATGCAAATATTCTCTGACACAACTCTCGAATAGGTTCTGAAGCAGAAGATTTTCATAATTTTCATCTATTTGACAGGAGGCCTTCAAGCAAAAAAAAACTTAATGCATGATGACAGAATTAGTAAAAGAGGACAACAGTTCTAGATGTCTAGCAGAGCGAGTCAACAATCTCAATCACCTCTTACAATAGCAGATTTACATCTAACTTCAATTCATAAGAAGAATTATGAAGAGAGAGAGAGCTTCAATGCTAAACAGTCTGAGTATATGAGTTTGAATATATCTTTTCAAACGAATAAGAGAAATCTCTCAACTGGCCACACATCAACGCAATATATGTTTATAGAGAGTAAACGAGTTAACAAACAAACAGATTTCAGTTGAAAAAACCAATAAAATTAGTCTGCTGGGACGTATAGATGAGAGCGTCAGCATTCGGAGGATATCTTTGAGATGGAAGATGAACATTCATTTATGCCCATTTCCAAGTTCGATTTTGACCCATTGCAAAGATAAAAGGGATACGTTCGAAGAAAAGAAGGGTCAGTACGATTAAAGAATTGAAGTCCAATTATACGTTAGGACTACGGATGACCGGTTTCACGTTTCACCCAACTTCATATCAACCAAAGAGTAATCAACTTAATGAATACATGCTTAAACTCATCATCTAATTGTTAGTTCATGTATACCCTGATCTGTGTCTTTATCTCTCAAGTCGATAGTTGTTTCATATAGTTATTCATGTAGATGTCACATTATTGATTTTTGATCCACCGTGGAACGATTTGAACGCATTAGCATACCTTTTCATTTTCAAACACAGCATCCTAATGAACGGTTGTGCATCAATTGCTTCTTTGAAATTCAATAACCACTATACGGTATATGAACAAATAAATTATAAAAAAATTTATTTTAAGATTACAACCTTGATGAGTACAACAAATACAACGAAATGAAGTATGGAATCCTTTTAAGAAAGGAGGAAAACTCGTAGAGAAGTTTTTAGAAACTAGTCTATTTGTATTTTCTCCGGTAAAGCAGTTGATCGGCTTAAGAAGGATTTCCTAGGCTTGAAGCTCAAAAGAACTCAACTACATGGTAACAAATGAAACTTGTTTTTTGTGAATGTTTGAGCAGCGGTTTACATGGCCTTGTGAATCTGGCAATTTGACAAAATCTGCTAGTTATTGAAGTTTTTTCAAGTAATAAGCTTGAAATAGGAAGAACAATGAAAAGAGCAAACGAAAGAGATACAGTTTACATTAGGACTGGATTTCAATTTGTTCTTGGAAGGAAATGTCCTCATATGGTTGGCTGAGTGTCAAAATTAGTCAAAGACATAGAGAGAGAGAGAGTATAGAAATGGCAGGTTACATCTTCAGCGTTTAAACGTACCTAGATGATTCACTGAAAACAACGTCCTTACACACCTTTATGATCATTTGGCAAACTGCTTACCTGTTTTGAATATGGCAAAAGCTGTTGATGAATGACGAAAATGATGGCTTTTAAGAATTACCCATGGGGTTGATCCTATGTAATTTGAATGGTAATGGGTGTATGTTACGTTCAATTTCTTTATAGTAAATAGTTTTATAACTTCGAATCGTAACTGGAATGTTAATCACGATGAATGTCTTCAATACGAGTCGACGTGATAAAAGCGTTTCAATAACATCACAGTTTAGCTTTCAAGTTTTGAGTATGAATCATTGAACTTTTTGTTTCAGAAGATTCAAATGAATAGATTCAAGATAGAGAGGTTATGCCGTGCAAGCATAGTGTCCTTCATCTAATGTCAAGGTTGTCATACAACAAAAAGCCCTAAGGGCCTTAACTGTCCTTTCTGTATATCAGAATCTGCTTTTTAGGGAGGTGAGTCATCTGGAATGACGTAGTTTCTTATTATTCTTTTTTCCGATGATCGGAACCTCCCACTGTAGAGGTCTAATCCCGCTACTACCATGTGCTTGAAACTGCCATAGTCAAGGAGGCGTGTCAACAAGAAACCTGTCCCTTTCGGCTATATAAGGAAACTGAGAAACTGATATGGCATACAGTCGCTTCCTCTTTCATGTAATAACATTTCAATTTCTTATATATGAAAATGCACGTTCTATCTATTTAATACATTTGAGATTTTCGTTTCATTTTAACAACTTTCAGCTTTCACCAAAAATGCAACAAACTTTCTTGGCTCTCGCTGTTCTCTCTGCTATTGCTGTTCAAGTCAGCTTCGCTTGTTTTGCTTCTGGAGTTTGTGGAGGCGGCTGCCCTCCACCCCCACCACCTGTATGCCATGGAGGTTAGAGCAGGCTTGATGCGTTTATCTATCAAATTATATAGGATGTGGTGGTGGATATGGTTGTGGACAATACGGTTGCTACCGCATGAAAGCCAGAGCTCGCTCAGCCAAAACTCTCTCTTTGAGAGGATCCGAAGAAGAAGCTGAAGTGAGCTTTGATCTTCATTATTACCTCTTATGATTAATTACAGCAACCAAAAACACCTGATGAGAAATTCATGCAATGCTGCATCGACAGAGACCTTCCAGACTCCTGCTTAAGCAAATGCTCATTCCGTTCTTACTCTAAAACAGCTCTCCAAGTAAGTTCTCAGATAATCCATCGGTATTTAAAACTGATTGACCGAGAGGAAAAACCGCTCGCGTCAGCTGACAGTCGCACTACCGGTCTTGTAAACTTCCATTGGTATACCCTCGGGTATAACTATGAACCCAATTCATTAAACTATGCGCTTAAACCAAACTCCCAACAAGTTTTTCGCGAACAAATACTTTATTTATTTCTTTCAGGCAATGTATTTCAAGCAGGATAGATGCCCAATGCAAGCGGCAGCTGACATCCATTACTGTGCCGCTCAAGGAAAAGATCATACTGACTGTTGCTACAGGAATGGAGTTTCCACAACCTTGGCTGGTTCTAAGGTAGTTTCAAGCAATTTTCTGAAATCTTAGAATTCTTTGTAGTGTATGACCTTCTGCGACCAACGCCCAGGAAATGTTACTCAACTCGATCTGACATATCTAGCTTGTTATGATCGTTTCGACAACATGAAGGCTTGCTTCTGGCAAGATATCAACAGAGAGGAACAGCAACCACAGCTGTCCTTCTCCGTCGATGAGACCGAGCCAGCCCAACCTCGCCGATTAGCTTCTGCTCGAACTTTCACCGCCAAAACTTTCCAGTGAACGGCTTAATTAGTTCCAGTAATTGTATTTTATGGTTGTACATTAGTGAAAACGATGTAAATAAGTGAACGAATAAAATTAACCTTAAAAGACTTTGTTGTTTGAAACATTTGGAGAAATATGAGAACAGAACTTCGAAACATAAAACTTTGTCCTATATGAACATGTAGAACACAATCTTCAATGTAATCGTGATTTGACTCTGATAGCCAAATACACCACAGGTTATCAGAGTTTAGAATACATTTGTAACTCAATGATTGCTCATAGTCACTCAACTTCGATTGTGCAACTCTCTGATCTCAAAGGCTACTTGATAACATGTGAACCCCTTCTCGTTCCGAACTTTTACAACGAAGTGGTAGATGTCTCGAGGTTTCTATGTGTATAGATTTTGATAAGCTGTTTGTCTGAGTCAAAAGAGACAACCGTTCGACTGAACTAAATTCGAATAGGAACGAAAATAATATGTGAGATGTCAGAGACTACTCTTTTGGCTGAAGCAAGAAAGTTAATACTTCAAAAACTAATCGATCTTCTGTTGCTTGCTCAACAGTCTCTCCACAAGAGAATGGAGAGCAGCGTTACAGATGGCGAGACCAAGCCAAAGATACTAAATGGACTACAGTCAAAGAACAACAACAAGTGATAAACTAAACAGAAAACAATGGTGTAAATCCTCAGGTGCGTATGTTTGAGTTATTGCGGTGGGCCCTACGTTCCGAAATGGCTACTTCAGGCTGAGCCTGGCGCTGACATAACGCAGTGGGTAGGCTGAGTCCCGAACACTTGACACATCCCTTTAAAGCTTCGCAGTTTCCATCATGACTGGGTTGAAGACAAGCCATACAGAGTCGGAGAGATGACGTCCTGATGATGCAGGAGCTTATCTTGTCGTGAGTCCGGCAAATAGTGGAATTTGTATATTTGTTGCAAAACGTGATTGTTCTGCCAAATCCCTAACCGCCTTGAATAGATCTTCAAGAGACATTTCCAAGATAAGTTGCGGAGTCATAATGAAGAGGACGCACTGGACATGGTAACCTGTGAGGAGAAACAGTTAGTTAAATACAAGGCTGATACAACGAAAACGTGATGGCACAGTAGTGTGTTTACTTTCGACCGTACTGAGAGTGTGCCGGAGGTGAATGACTCTCATTCGTTTTCGTGATAGAATTCTAGCAATATCTTGTCATATCGCTGTACAAAACTTCTCCTTTCTTGGGAGTCTGCGGAGGAGAATTTGTTGTAAGCGTGTTTCTCTCTCTAAGAGTCTGTGGATATTCTTCACTCCAAAGCGACCAAAACAAAAAGAAATGCTATTTTAATTGTTTTTGTCCAAAGACTTTTAGGGGACAAACTGAGGCTTTCCGGTATAGGGGTGTGCCTTTTTCCTTCAAGGTTCATTGGTACGGGAACAAAAAATGACGAGCGTGACCACTTCCCCGTTTTCTTCGTTGAGAGGTGTAAGCGGCTCAGAGTTGACAAGGATCGCAGCTTTAGCCAGTATGCATTCGTACATCCCCGGAAGTCTAAGAGCCAAACTCAGTCAAATTTTAAACATAAACAGCTTCGATAATTGTGGGTTTTGTATGAAATTCCGGGAAAGGATCTGGATGTTGTACTGAAAACTAAAAGAACAAATTGAGAGTAGAAGAGTACTGTATATTAGATAATAGGAAGTGAGAGGATGTGAATACTGTATGAGGATAGAGAGAGAGGGAGAGGAATTAGAAAGTATGAACATTGAGAGAATATTATTTAGAGATGCGTTCAGTAGAACAGTTCGCATGATAAAGCTTGTTTTTGTTCTGTTCTTCTTAGTCTATGTGGCTCTCATTCCGAACGGAATGATGCCACTGCAAGTCATCGAGAAAATTATATTTGAATAGAAGAATAATAGAATGAAGTCAATGGTTATGTCCTAAACGGAAATTGATTTGCTTTGGATCAACTAGACGGAGACAACGAGCAGCCAATGACAACGGAGGTTCTAATCTATCGAAAAGAGCTGTGAAGTACCGAACGTTGCTCTTGATCTTAGTTAAGTATTCAGAGTAATCACGCTCGGGATCGAAGGTGAAGGAATGATCTTCGAAAAGTTTTTTTTCCTTTTCAATTGCTTCATCAGCCATATCTATGCAGCTCAGCAGATTCCACTTTGCCAAACAAGCTTGTCCTATTCTCGTTTCCTCATTCTGATAATGATGACAATACATAGTGGCCTGGCGTTCCGCATTTGGAATATGACTACGAAGCTGGGTAATGAACGTTATCTGTACTCAAACTGAAGGTTTTCAGAAATTACCTCAAAATGTACGATTTGCAGCCGTCCATTGCTGTCAACGCCAAAATTTTTCTTGTCGTTGAAAACGTCTCTTAAGTAGAAGCAATAGCAGAGTAATCTCATCTGAATTTCTGTGAAAGTGCGCGAATTAGAAAGGCCAAAGAAGCTTCGAAAGCCAGGAACTTAAACGGTTTTGTAATTTGTAAACTACTGACTACTAGTAATTACCTTCTTCGCTAGCCGTATAAAAACCAAATCCAGGCAGACCCGTGTTCCGGTAAAAGTGAACTTTCGGCCCAAATCGAAGGATCTCAAGTAGTTTATACATGAACAACACTCGCAGATCAGCGCTTTTGTTGTCGTGTTGTTCTGCTAGCTTTGTATGAGTTCTGACGTGGTAAGTCATCAACAACGTTTCTTCTCGGTATACATAACATCGAACTGTGCCCTAAAATAGTTTTGTAGAAGGACAATCTTTATTGTTCAAACTGACTTTCACAGCTATCGGACCCCTCTTTGGTTTCCATTCAATATTGAACGTTGCACATTCAGGATCTATCTGGTATAAAGTGGAAAAATAAGAGTTCGAAGCATAGGTAATAGGTTCGAACTGGCTATCCTTATACAATGCAAAATCATGAAGAAAATCGTTAGCCATTTTGAACATTTCGGAGGACAAGTTAAAAAAATAATTTTTTCGCAGGAGGTCATTATGGAAAATCGCAAGTTGAACGTGTTCCCCAACCATCGCTTTGGAATTTTTCGCCTGTCTTGCCTTCTGAGAATGATGCTTAAAAGCTTCCCAATGCTCTAATGAGCAATGCTTCTGGAAATACTATGATTGTTCTAACCCTGTCGTTGCGATAAAGAATTCCATCTGAGATCATAAAGAGAGGAATCTACTATCAACATATACTTTACAAAATTGCATTGGAGGAAGGCATGAACTTAAATGAAAATAGGAACTTATAACTTACGATGGTTATTTCTTCATCATTTTCTACAGTTTGAAGAGGGTGTTCCACTACCGAGAGCTCTTCCCCTCTGAAGTATATCTGCTGATGTAACGGTTTTACACCAAAAAAACGTTCTATCCGGTCCTGTAAACTAACATAAGATATCTGAAATGAAAGTGGTAACTAGATGGATTTAAACTGAGATGAGTACGTCTGGTGTAATGGTGATTGTATGTGTTCTGTATAATTGCTCTCCAAAGAGCAAAGTGATTTTCATGTTGACCATCCTCAAAGAAGAATCAATCAGAAACAGAAATAAGCAAGTAATACGAGGACAGCAAGATTAATCAAGTTCGCAGAAAACAGTGTTCAAAGGGAGAGAAATATTGGACTTCAACAATAATAACCAAAACTTGAGTCATCTTTTAGAGATAGCTGAATAGGAACCGATGAGGTGAAACGATGACGTGTAGAATCAGAATAGAAAAATGGAAACTGATAAGCACAGATATCACACTTTAGGAAAGAATCTTTTTGTAAATAGAAGTCTCTTTTGACTTGAAAATTCTTAAAATACTAATCATGTACTTAGGTAAAGACTAATTCTGTTTGATTTTCTGTGACTTAGCAAAATGATATGTCTGATTGTTTCATTTGTCTAGAAGAATTGTTTGAAATAAAAGGAAATTCTTCCAAATGGTCAAAAAACTGTGTCATTTAGCAGTTTCTCAGAACGAAACAAAAACATTTCAAGCTCACAGAAATAGAACTTGAGCTCTCCAAATTAAAAACTAAAACTGACACGGAAAAACGATGTAATGGAAAGAAAATCAATAGAAAAAAAAGAATAATGAAACGGCGTCTTGAATATTATGAACAGTGGTCGCGTATCACGCACGCGCAACTATACTTGTTGAGGTACTGCGTTTGGTACTGGGACTGGGATTCTCATTCTCACAACTGATCTCTTCCATAGAAAAATTATAGGAAAACATAATTATTCACAAACAAAGTAACTCACAGTGCACAATCCAAACGAACAGAAGAAATCCGAAAAAGAAAGCAGACTAAAGTAGAAATAATAAACATTGAGTACTCTGAAAAGTGCGCGAAATCGATATGGAATGAGCGGGTCATGGCGGGGTTTGATACCCGAACTGTGGCAGAAAATCTTCAAATCGGTCACAACATAATCACGATTTGTTTTTTTGAGTTTTTTTTTGAGTTACAAAAAAAAATATTATTCAGAAATGGTTACTGTGTTCATTAACTTTGTTGAAGAAAATCAAATTATCAAGGCTCTCAGATTGGTTGATTTGGATTTTTCGGTATGAACCTGATTTTACATGAATGGATATGCATCTTACAGATGCCGCTTCTTGAAATAAAAGCCATAATTGCAATGCATACAGGTCTCAACGAACGTTACCTGTCCCTGTTCTACGGAGGAGTACGTTTAGATAACGACCACATCACTTTAGAAGAAGGACAGGTTTTAATCATGGTTGGCTCTTCAAATTTAAGTTAGATTTTTTCCAGGTGTACACTCCATGGACTGAATTCTTAAATGCCATAGCAGGCAAAAAGGCTTGTTGGTGTGCAGGTTTGATAGATAAACTAGTAAGTCATAATTCTGATTTTTTTTGAAGGGAGGAGTTGAAATTTTCATCAGGCAGAATAATGTTGTTCTTAATCATTATTTTGTTAAACTCCATAGCAGGCGCGCAACGAAGCCTGATAAAAGGATCGATATGCGTGAGCTATTCACGTACAAAATGATTGAATCTCTGGGGATAGGACCTGCTGTCCTGTTTATCTCTAACAATTATTTTAACATCTATGGGGTTTACATAGCTACAGAAGAAGGTAAAACTTTTTGAAAGCAAAACAGTACAATAGTTTTTCAGTACCTGGATTTATCAGAGGAAGTCATTGGGAAAGAGCTCAGACTAATTGGAAGACAAAGCTCATTACATACAGCTACCTTTTATGTTGGGATGACTTGGTCAGCAACGATGGGGACTATGGAGGGGATATTATCAGGGACTTGGGAGTTGTGGACGTTGAGGTGATTTTTTAGCTCTAACAGTAGAAAATTAAGTATTTTCAAGATGAGTAATGACTGGCAGAACACGAATAAATTTGGTGCAGAATGGATTGGTAGCGCAGAACAGAGAATGGGAAGCTCAAGGGATTTTAATGATGATAGACAACAATCTTTTTGAATATTCACTTAAAATTCGACCTAGCATTGATGAATTAGAAAGAATATTCCAATAAACCTTCTCCATAATTGTGTTTGATAAGAGCCAGGTAACACTGTAAAGTTACTGTATCCGGTTCAATTACTCAAGTTTGAGGTACTGCTTTAGGGATGCAAAAGAAAAAAATGTATGGGCCTCTTAGCTGTAGAAACAACACACACTCAAACACTATACCTTTAGCAGAGTAAAATTTTTTTGATATGACAGTTTAATTATCCGAGTTTGAGGTACTGCAATGGGTACTGGTACTGGGATGTGAAGGCTTCCACTATGCATGGGAAGGTTAATCATGGAATTAAAGTATTATGTATATGATGATGATATGTCGGCTAAACAGGCTTTATAGTTGTTGTTGTTGTTCGAATGAAATAAATCCATAATTTCATAAGTTTATTTATTTACTTTCAGATTGTTATTGATAAAGGTGAAAGGTAACACATATCACAACAACATGCTTACAATGCTTTTGCCTCTCTGAACTCTTTTGTGACGTCAAAAAGACGATTGCAATAAGCAAACAAATCTTTTTAAGTTCATGAACTATCTGTCTGTCTCTCATTGAACAGATGAAGCTTGGACGACGATATGGTACTGAAAAGGTTTTTTTTCTCTTAAAACGTTTGATACAAAAAAAAGATTTGTTTCTCTCGTTCATATCCTATTCAAACAGTTGGAACAACACAAAGCCCATGCTTTGTATAAATAGCAGATCATCTGCCATATTCAGATACTTTCTAGTTGCAATTCGGCTATTCTCTCTCAGTCATCAGCCATGTTAAAACAATTAATATGTTTTAGCTTAATAACTCTTGCTTTTACTGGTTTGTTTGAATATTGTCGTTGATGTCGCACTCATAACATGCTTACATGTAGAAAGCAGCGATTGCTACTACTCCTTCCTCGAACAAGAGCCTGGAATAAGGACTTGTGGAAGTACATTAGACTGTAGAGGGCCAAACTCCACGTATATCCAACTTCATCTGCATACTGTTATCATCATCTTATATATTACAGATGTATCTTCAGTATGAATCTGGCTACCAGAATCTGTTGTCAGCAGAAAGAAGGAACTGTCTATCCACGTGCGTTACTTTTTCAATTTCGTTTCCTCTTTTTTTCGAAAAATTTAATTTTTAAAAAAACCAATTTTTATTTGATTAACGAAGTGTTTAACAAACTTCCGTTAAAAAAAAGTGTTAATCTGATTGATCAAATATTGAAGAATGTCCATCTGGATATACAGCTTCTGATTTAACAATGCCCATTATGTGTCAACCGAATGCGGAATACCTTGGAGTATGTCCGGAAGAATACAATTGTGTTCGAAGTGTTACTGATTATACAATCAATTTGGATCTTGTAAGTTATGCTTCTGCTTATCATGAAGCTTATTCAATGATTGTTTCAGCCAGCACCTCAAGATCACTTCATGTGTTGTAAGAAGCAATGAATCGCCATATTTGTACAGTTTTCAAAACTTTCTCTAATAAAACATAGTTTGCCTTCAACGAATTGTTTTTTTTTTATCAAGCATTGCATGGCAGGGTCAGAGAGAGACAGAGAGAGAAGAAAAAAGCTTTTTTTTTGATGAACTGAGAAAGTCATTGATGAGGAGAGGAGAAAGTCTCATACACACACTTCATTGAACTAAATAATCATTTTGACTTTCACAAACATTTTTTCTCATTTTCTCAAAGACGAAAGAGGAGAAAAAGTTTGTCTAAGAGAGTGAGAGAGAGGGTTAGAGGGAGTTGTAGAGAGTCAGTAAGAGAAAAAGGTTGAAGGAGTGAAAAAAACATATGAGAATAACCTTTTTCCAAATAAAGTAATTAGACAGCTGAAGTGTCATAAGAGACTGTCATAATCGTCACAAAATCGTTTTCAGTCCTTGAATTCTTCGGAAGTACATCTCACTCTCTCTCTCTCTCTCTCTCTCTCTCTCTTACTCTCTATATTATGAATGTTCGATTAAATTGTAGATTTCAGAGAGTAAGAAGGTAATAAAAAAAAGAATTTTTTTAAAATATATTGTATAGAGAAGGGATGGCATAATTTCTCTAAAATTGTTATGAATGGCTGGAAGGTATGTGAACGACGTAATGGATATTATTCTGAAAGTCTAAATTGACACGAATCATCAACTCATCCATAGACGACTATTATAACAACCAAGGACAATCCGCCAAATACTTGTCTGAAATGTCTATTTACAAATAATTTATTCGCTCACTGCATCTCACTTAATTAGAATATTTGTAAAACAGTTTTGTACACGTCATCATCCAATCTCATTCACGTGATGACGTACATATGATATACGTGAACGTGAAGAACAATAGAACGTTCATGAAGCTTCATATGTGAGTGTGTTCGACGTGAGGAACGGTTGTTCATTGCATCATTTACCTTTAGGGCAGTGAAAGAGAGAGAGAGAGAGAGAAAATATGGAAGATAGAGAGAGTGACAAGGAGGGATTGTTTGTTTACAATGTGTAATGTATTTCAGCTGTTTTTATCTCCTTTTTCATACATTCAACTACATTATTCTGTGAGAACATTTTCATTTTCACAAATAGTCCGGTTAATTACCAAATGTATAGGATAAATGAAGCAAAAGAGGGAGAAAGAGAGAGAGATAGAGAGAGTTAGAGAGAGAGAAAGAGAAAATGAGTTACAGAGTTGAAACAGTATGAAAGAGATTCATTGACAATATATGAATCGAGAGAGAGAGAGAATGAGAAGATGATCATTCTACCGTATAAGAATAAAATAGGAAACAGAAGTGCTGACAATGAGACGATGATGATGATGACACAAAGAGGAAGAGGTAGACGACAGTCTCAGGATTAAGGCTGGCATGTTTGGTCATGGCTCCTGCTATTACATATAACTAATCCATTTATTAACTATTGTTTGCTTCATCATAATTGATGCTTTTTTATGGCTCATGTGGCGAAGTTCCGAAGGACGAAACGGTTCACTAATTCGCAGATGGTTAATGAGATTTCCTGTATGAGATTAGTATTCATATCTATACTGCATATAGTTAAGAATAACTTATAAATATCATAATTATATGGAAAAGTATATGATGGATAAGCGTATTATAGGTATTCGCATGTTTCTTGCACACATTGCAATTGAGCAATGAGACTGAGATGAAATGAAAAGAGGATGAGAGAAACGATATTGTTTCCATCTAAACCATTTGACAGCAGATTGTTTAAGAGAAATCTAGATTTCCAATCTTATTATGAGATTACCACCAATCCATAGAAGGAGTTTGGGGGGGGGGATGAGAGAAGATGTTTCAATGGATGGCAAGTACGAATGAAGTTGAAATACACTAAGTTCAATCTTACCTGCGTAACATAAGGACAGTTGAAAGCAAAAAGGGTGAAGGTATGTTTCATTGACATCATCTTCTTTCAATCCTTGTATGGAAAATCAAAATTACACATTTGACATCATTTCATATGAAATATTGGCGAAGAAGACGATGATGACGACGAAAATGATTTAATTCATCATTATAAAACCCAATGTACTAGCTAATAATCGTCTCAATTTGTTGTATCCGGTCTATCTCATCTAACCTTTCCGGCACCCGGTAATCCACTTGTGTCAACTTGTTGAGACATCGTTATTTCCTTTCTTTTCTTTTCTTAGCTGGTTACTTTCTTTGTTTGTAACTCATTCTATTTGACGATTCAACAATTGCCACACAATGTATTTGATGAAAGCCGACTTATAGTTAAATAACTTTGGAATAGTTAGTCATATAATATAAATTAGTTCAAGAGTCAAGGAAGTACAAGGACAAATATAATTTTTTTTTCTTTTTTCTCATCTCTTTTGTTACTTTTTTTCTTCTCTTTCTTACCCCTTCATACCCCAATTACCGTACTTCTTGTTTCATCGCACCGGAACCTCTAATTCTAAATTCCTAAAATTAATTAAAAGGACTTGTATTACATAATGGTTGTTGTTGTAGCTGTCAATCATCCAACAGATTGTAGAAATGACGTCAGAAAAGGCATA